AAGGAAGAGACTGACATCTAACAAGGAGCAAAGGTCAGAAAAGCAGATGGTATTGTCTCTTTAAATCCACTACTACCATAGTTATGAATATTTTAAACAGTTCCTTTTAAAAGTGGTAGTCTTATTCCTCTTTTCAATTTCCAAATTATTTTTGAACTAATGTCAAAAGATAATTCTTCATCAGATATAAATGAACATAACTATTAGTTACACTGCCAACCTTACTGTGGCAGCTTCTACTTCCAATATTTCAATTTTTTTCTTTGATACTTTAAATTTCCTAAGCCAGAAAGTCCTATCAACATAGTTGATGATTTAAAATGACTATTAATAAAAATTAAAAAGTGATTCAACAGTTCTGCATTGTAAGGCCAGACTGACAAAGTAGGGCTGAACATTGAAATTACATCCCTAGACCAGGCCAACAGGCATGGACTAATGGGTTTTCAGTTCTCACTTTAATAGGTAAGAAAACAAAAAACTTAAAGCCTTAAAGATTACAAAGATGTTTGAGTCAGGGTAATTTTCTTGGGGACAGATACTGGAATTTGTCAGTACTTCAAATGATACATTCTTTGGGAAGAGATCCCAGTGCTTTTCATTGAAATCCTGTAGTTTACAGTGCACAGAGTATTTGGGGGTGAATCACTCTCTGTTTTCCCAAAGGAAGTGCCTGATCTGGATCATCCTTTTCTCCAACAAGGCCTGAGCAGACAGACCCCACCGTATCTTCCAGGCAGGGCTCCCCTGGGCTCTAAAGAGCAAGAAACTAGTTCTGTGAGTTACAAAAGCAACATCCACAAGACAAACCTGCCCCAGGCCTCCAAACTCTGCTCGAGGCTCCTGCCTGAGCAGTGCTGATAGCAGCCCAGACAACCCCTCCCCTCAGTCATCCACCGCTCCAGACAGTGTTTAACCTAAAGCTCCAAAGCAGAAGAGTGGGATGGGGGCTGCTCTAAAACACCAAGGTAAATATGGTGTGAAACAATCAGTTCTTGCCACCTTTCTCAGCAAGGTTTCCCACCCAGTCTAGGCGGGATAATCCCACTAAAGCTTACACTCAGCAATGAATCGACCCCTGGCTGGTAAGTAACAAAACAGCTTAAGTTTGGGGTTTTTTTTAATTCTAACTCACTTACATAGGAAAACGCCCATCTGTGGTGAATAGTTTTGAAGGGGTCACAGAAGTAAGTATGTACATCTTTATTTATACACATTTATTAAGTACTCAGTGGAGGTGAAAAGAACTAATGAAGCAGCATGGAGACATACACTCCTGCCTCCCTGCTCCCATCTAAACAATGGAAGTGGTAGTTTATCCAAAACTTTATAGTGCTCTTAGACTTTTTTCAGAAAAATAATATTTGTGACTTCTGTCACTCCTGCAATATTTCCAGGACTGTGCTGATGTGTACAATGACAACTGTCCACAAGAGAAAACCTGTAATTTCTACTTAGAAGCAAAATAAACCAACTGTCCAAACCCAGACTGAACTCAAGTTACATGCTTATGTGCAGTCAGTTGGGTGGCATTTAAGTTGACGTATTGAATAGGATGAGCTGATTCCAAGGTGCAGACAGCAGAACTCTCAAGACACTACACAGGTCAGCAGTGCTACAGCTCAGCACACCAGGAACTGTTCAGGGCAGTCAGCACTTATGGGGCAGGAGAAACTGGTACTCAGAAGCATTTAAGTTCATGACTGCATTTCTCCTTTTCAAATCAAGAACAGAATAAAAACCAGTGTGAAAATATTAATTTGTTACTAACTACAAGAGTAAAGCACTGTTTTGAATTAGTGAATGATGACGGAGTGACAGCAGAAAAGCTTCCCAGAACGATGGACTGACAACACAGGTGAAAGAGTGAGAGAATGAATAAAAACTGCTGGCAAAAGAAAACATTCTAAACACCTTGACAGTATCATTTATTGAAGCCAAAAGCTGCCCATTAAGTAATTTAATACAAAAAGTAAAACATGTCTAAAAATAAGACATAAAACATGCTATCACAAGCATTCTAAGTCAGCATTCTTAGACTGTCTGGCACAGCTGCTGCACACTCTGACACATCAGATTAAAAAAAAAAAAGCAGCACATATGCAGGCCTTGCTATCTGTCACAAAAGGCAACAGAAATGTACAGTCTGTAGAACAAGTGTAATGCACTTGTATTAATAATATTCATTTCTTTCACAGGCATTGGAGCTAAATTAAAATTTACTAAGGCAAGGCAATTATGACCAAGAAGGATTTGTAACTGCATTGAATTATTAAACTTAAACAAATAAACATTAAAAAAAAGTAAATTAAGACTGAAACAGGAGCAAAGTGTTCAATGAAAAGATGCGAAGGCAAGGTCTGAGTTCAGAATTGTGCCATATTTAGTTACTCTGCACAAGAACAGTGAACATTCCATCAGGACCTCAAAGATAAATGCTGTGAAAAGAAGTGAGGATGAGCAGCATTTCTAGTTTCCTTTGAACACAATTAACCTCAAGAATTACCTCTCAATTCCACTGCTGATGGATTACATACAGTCACTCCCTAACAAGAACAAGAAAGTTAAGAACTAGAATGCCCAAAGAATATTTAAATGAAAGACAAACCAGATTTTCCAATTGCATATGGGAGATCACTTCTCTGGTAAGTGTCAAAGCAGAAACAACAGTAAATGGTACAAGAACAAATAAAGTCTACCAAGAATTAAGAACTAGTCTATGCTTAAGGTTTTGACACTTGTTTTTGAAACTGAGATGATGTAAAAAAAGAAGTTTAGGCACGTCCCAAATTTACCTACTCTATTAAATCATTGTTACTCATAGGACACGACATGAATACGAAAATACAATGTTAACATGAAAGCATATGGTCAAACATACTGACGCTGCACAAGGACTGGGTGTGTTTAGCTGGTGCTGAACACTATTAATTATCACTCGATCTTTAACATTCCCTTTTAACATGAAGTGAAATGCATGAAAATAAACCCATAAATTAGCAATCTACCACAAGGAGTATTTCTCGACCACTTGCTTAGGACTGGAGTGTAGGAAACCACAGCAGGGAAACTTAAATTAGGATGTGAAAACTGTCACAGGAACTTGCAGGTGAAATGGCCAAGTGCATTCCATAGAGGAAAGACCATCATGGTCCTTGAGAAAAGCCCTGCCATGCTTTTCTTTAGTTTTTACACATACCTTGTAAAAACCAGCCCTACCCTTTCCACCTTGTGGCACCCACAAGAGGCCTCGATCTCCTCACCGCTCCACGTGGGTACCGGCCTCTCCCAGAATCTGGAAAAACACGGCTTTCCACTCCCCACCCCCTGCCAGAGAAGGAAGTCCCCCGCTTTCCCAAGAGGAAAATGCCGGCGTTCCCTTTTCCGGAGCTCTCGCAGCATCCCCAGGGAAGCCATTCCCGCGGCTGGGAGCAGCAGCAGGGACGGCGCTCCCTGCCCCCGGCTGGCACAAAACCCGAGGCAGCGGGGATGACGCGCCGCGTGTGCGAGCGGTGCCGGCCCGGGCCGTGCCCACGCCGCCAGCGAGCCGCGATTCCCGGCAGCCTCCGGCGCCGACGCCCGGGCGGGGCGCGGGCGAGCCGACCCCTCTCTCCCGCGGTGGATGGGGGCGAGGCCGCCGCCCAGGCCGAGCCGGGCGGCGGCGGCCGGGCCGGCAGCACGGCAGGGGGGAGGGGGACCCCTTCCCTAGCGTGCGGGAAGGTGGGAATTCCCTGCCGGAGTTACTCACCGGGAGCCGTGCGGGGGGAGCGGAAGCGGTGACGGGGGTGGGAGCGCGCGCGGCGCCCTCGCGCCGCGGCGGGAGGGGTGGGTGGGGGGAAGGAAGCGGCGCCCGGTGATCCCGCGCGCGGACCCGCGCGCGCAACGTGCTCGCGCCGCCGCCACCCGGCCAAGATGGCCGTCGGGCCCGAGGGGCGGGGAGAGCAGGGGAGGGAGGGATGGGAGAGCGGCATCACCATGGAGAGGAGGGGAGGAGAGAGGGAAGGGCAGCTCGGCTCTCGCCGTAGAGACTCTGGGCCGTGCGGAGGGAGCGGCGCCTCCCGGTGTGGGGCTCCCCGAGCGGAGCCGTGCTGCCCCGTGTCCATGCCGGGTTCTAGAAACAGAAAGGTCTTGCTGGGCTTTTACGCCGCGCTGCGTAATGATCACAGGCAGCAATAACAGTCAGAGCGGGTGTTTCCTCTCTCAAGGGAAGGCCCTGCCGTTCCCTTTCACGGCCGCAGTTTCGGCATTAGGAGCCGAGCTCCAGTATCGGACACGCCCGGGGACTGCTACGACACGGAAGGCACCGGGACGGAACGGTCCCGCTGGCCTGTACCTGCCCCGGGCAGCCCGTCACCTGCACCCGGCACACCGCTTGCTCCCCCGCGGGGGAGCACTTCCAAGCACTAGCAAGAACCCGCCACCGAAATTCGCATTCCGAATCCAACACTGAGCACGCCCAGGGGTTGCTCCCACACACCAGGAGCCAGCACAGGAAGCTCCGGCGGGTCTCTTTCCCCGCCCCTGGACGCGGATCCTGTGAGGGGCGGCCCTGAGGGTGGGGCGGCGCGCGCGCCCTGCGGCCCTTTGGCCGCCGCCTCCGCCCATCGCTGCGGCGGCGGCTCCCGGCAGGATCAGGTGGGTAAGGTGCGAGCTGCGGCTCCGGAGGGAGGCTGAGGGGAGGAGGCGGAGGAAGAGGGACACCCAGCCCGAGCGGGAGCTCGGCGGGCTGAGGCGGCGCGCTCACCCGGGTCGGGGGCTGCCCGAGCGCGTCCCTCCCGCGGTGCGTGCGGGTGTCTCGGGAGCGGGAGAGCGGAGCCCGGGGCTGAGATTCCAGCGCGGCCGGGGTGTTCCGCGAGTAGGTGTTGCTTCTTTATTATCGATATTTAAGCGTTTTGCAGGCCTGCGGGCTACGGTGTTGTAAAATTGGTTAATTAATCAAGGAGTAGTGGGGGGAGGGCTACCAAGGAACGTGAGCGAAAGCAGCTCTTGGTTTGTCAAAGCCGCTTCATCCCCTGGGTGCTGTGGTTTTTAAAGGCAGCTTCCACCTAGTGTTTACACACGACTTGTAAAGAAGTGCTCGAATCCTTTAATGAACAGTTTACACCCTTACCAGGTAAGTTTGGAAGTCTTGGCTTTCACAAAAATATGTTAAAAACTCCGCAACACTTATTTAAACTGATTAGGGATAAACATATAAAATCGCTAATGTATTTCAATTGTGCAGTTGCTCTAATTACTCTTATTTTTACTGAAATATATTTGTGACAATGAAGGACTGTAGTAACTTTCACTAGTAGGCTTAAAGTGATGCTCTGAAGGCAGAGTAAAAATAATAAGTGTTTAGAATTGAGAGAATAATCTGAGAGGTTGAACATTCAGGTAAGCGGCTGTTGCAATAGGGTGCTACTGAAGACTTACTATCACTGTTAAATATTAAGTAAATGATAGTAATTTGAATGTTTAATGTTGTTGTTTAGTCCTCCATCTGAATAACGAATAGTAAGCATAGTGAGAGTCTGGTTTTTGGATATATCTGGAGATCTTTGAAGGCCTTAAACCAGCAAGGGTCTAGACAAAGAAAATGAGAGCAGGAAAAAGAGTTTATGAGGTAAAATGAGTAGTGCCATTAAGAAAACCAAGGAATCTAAGATATGAAATTTCCTTCTGATAAGAAGAACAGGAAAAACAGTCTTATGGATGTTGGAAAAGTGCTGGTGTAGTCAGTGCAGCCTTTGTTCAATTCTGTTGGAAAACCTGTAGTCAGATATTTGCTAAAACTGAATAAAATTATACAATGGGAATGCAATCAGAGTAATTTTTTTTTTTAAATAGAAAGGCTGAACTTTGATTCCCTGAAAGATTCTGAGGTTTAAGAGCAGTCTGGATCAAACTTTTTTACAGTAGCCAGTGCATTTAATGAGACAGACATATAAGGAGTTTGTCTTGAGTTTTGTACATTTTCTGCCGTTGTTCAAGCTACTGAAACATGGTCTAAAAATAATTTTTTTTTAAAGATCTTGTACAGCTCGTTGAAAAATTGCGTTTGAAGCTGACTTGTAAAATCTCACTTTTAAACAGGCATGTCACAAAGTGTGCTCCTGGTGAGTTCAGCTTTGAATGTATTTTCATTATATTCTGTAGTGATGAACACAAAATAAATATGTTGCCAAGTTGGAAGCACTGTACAGCTCCGCATCAGAATTCAAAATGATCTTGAGAAGATTGGTAGCAGATTGGAAATCAGTGTAACTAAGCCCAGTTAACAAGAACTGAGGGAGGAAGAGAACACAGGAAGAAAAAATCAAAGGCCTGATTATTGGAAAGGCTAAAGTGAACAGTAAACAGTATCCCAAGAAAACATTTGAGCACTGTAGTGCATAGTAAATTAAATATAAGTTTGGTAATATGTTCTTTCAACTAAACGGGTTAACAAGTGTGATTAAAGACAAGGAAAGTGATTGCTCTGTTGAATAAGGGCCTTAGCTAAAATGGTATGGTTACTTTCTTGAACAATAGTATGTAGATACCTAGACTCTGCAGGAGTGTTAGGTTTATAAAACTTGATTTGTGAGGGAAGCTTGAGATACTTGGGCACACCAGAAAAGAAGAAACTAAGAGCAGATTTGATGAGAGCCCTCACATCTGTAAAGGGTTGCTATGTAAAGGCCAGTGATTAACTAGTCTTGGAGTTCTCTGGAGAGCAGGAGCAGAAATCATGCTTTTTTCTAGAAAGTGATACTGTTAAGGGCAGTCTGGTCTCTCAAGGGCCCTTACAGGTGTGAGTTTAAACAGTTCTGTTTGTGATAACTTGGTGGAATTAGAAACTTTAACTGGGAAAACTGCTTTGCAATCTGCAAGTTCCCTCGAGCCTCGATCTTTATGGAGCTTTAGTAGGAAAGGCCCACGGTGTATCCTTCTGTGTCTCCTGTTTAATGTGTTGTGGAGGAGTATGTGTATCCTTTGCTTTCAGATAAGCACCTTTTAAAGGTGTCTTGTACTGGTACACTGAGGGTGTCCCATTTGGTTTGGCTGTGAAAGGCACTGTCCAACCATTTAAATCCGTTTCACTCTGTTTATAAAGTGTGTGCTTGCTAAAACTCTTTAATGGCTGTTACTCCACAGGGATGGGATGTTCTCTGGAAAAGAGCAAACTTCTCTGAGGAAGATGGTGAGGGATGAAGTGTTAAAGGAGGGGGGAAAAAAGCTGATCCACTGCTTTGTCTTAATCAAAGGATGTGCATACCCTATAGTGGAAAGGGACAAAGTGGAAGCATGGCCTTGATCATGTCATTAAGACATTCATATATTAACGTTGCTAATAAGGAAACGGCAGCCTATTAATGATCTTTTGGAATAACTGAATTGGAAAATTGGAGATGTTTCCAGCCAGTGCTTCTATAGATGTGGTGTGTCTTTCCATTTTCCAGCACGTGTCAAGGAGAAGGGCCTCTAGAAAGATTAGTTGTTTTTACACAGCCTGAAAAAGCTGAGAAAAGTTTTACTAGGTGACTTAAATTACTTTTAAAGCTAAGTATTTGTGTCTTGCTCAATATGAGGTGCTTTTACTTCTGCTAGGAAAACGTCCAGAAGTGTTGCTTGAATGAGCTGCTGCAGCATTATTTTTCCTTAGCTATCCAGAATGTCTTGTTCTTGAGCAAGTTAAACAGGAGTTCTGTCATGAAAATCTGACTCAATTAGTTCAACCATTAAAGATTTTCAGTCTTTTGCATCACTAGTACACAGTATTTGCCAGCAGTGGTTTGGAGTTGGGATTTGGATTTTGAGTAGCTTTGCCTGTTTGATAGGAGGAAACAAACTCAGTTTAAAACATGGGGAAAATTGGATGGTGTTTCTTGTTTTACGGTTCAGACCCCCAAAATGATTGGCTTGAACTTTTGAGTACCATTGCAATACAAATTTTGGCAGTGTTAAGTTATTTAGAACTTTTCTCTGTGCACTGAAGCTTATAAGAAATCTCAACATCGTTGCCTTAAGGGATTCTGCAGACTTAAAAGTTCTAGTAATGTTTTCTGAAAGCAAGTGTAATCAACTTTCTGATATAATCTGAGTGAACAGTGTGATTTCTGTGACTTACCTTATTTTGGTGAGTTTTGATAGAATGTTTGCATACTTCTTTTGTCTTGAGGGTGGGTATCTAACAATAGCTATGTCTAGGAATGAACTTGTGAGTATCAGATTTGGAGTTTTTTATTCATTTTCTCTTGAAGTCAAAGGAGATTGAAGGCTTGCTGGTGATGATTTTCAAAAGACGTTTTGTATGATGTTTTTGAGATGTGATCACTTGAACTAAAATGAATAACAACTTTATTTTGTGAGGTTGAATTCTCTTCACTTCTCTATTTTCAAAGGTGGAAAGAACAGCATTATTGGTTTCTATATAAATCTGAGAATTAAAATGAATGCAACTCAACCTCAGTTTATTGTCACAAAAGTGAAAAATAGCAGAGTTTTGACTAGTAGGTCACTTGAGCTTTAAAATTCAGAAGTCCAGAAAAATACTCTCCCCAATGGTTAATAAACATAATTTGAATTTTGGTGTAGGATGAGGGTTGGACTAGATGATTTTTGAAGGTCCCTTCCACCAATCTAAACCATCCTGTGATTCTGTGAAAAATGTTTGGTTTTGAAGTAGCTGTGAACTAAGTGTTTTGTAATTCTTTTACAAGACTGTTTTGAATTCTTAGAAAATTAGACTACTTGTGAATGTTGGTCTATTGAAATTGCCATTAATAAATTTAAAGTTGTATTAAGTAGCAACCAGAGGAAGTTATTTATTTTCTATTCTACTCTATTCTTGATATATACGGGTTTATGATGTAGCTGATTCAGTAAAGAATTATTATTAAAGCTGTGTTTTAAGGAGCCTATTGTTAATACCTGATAGAAGCTTTAAAGCAGATAATGCACAATTTAGATACAGTGACTAGGGAAAATGTATGTGCTAGTGTATTCTTAGAGAAATGGCTAAATGCATTGTCAATTTAGTCTTTTTAGTATTTTTTTTTTTTAACAAAACTTTTCTGCATTGGCAAGGACTTTAAAACATCTTGTTGCATGAGTTTTTGTTTTTTTTTTATTTGGATGGCATTAGGATTACTATATCTGTGAATATATACGTGATATCTGTAGGATTAGCTGTGTAGTGTTGGACTTCTTTTCTGAGAGAATAGTGTTTGAATAAGGTTTTTGTTTGCAGCCTTTTGGGACACTTGCTGTTGTCAGTATTTAGATTTTACTACACATGCGGTTGTTTATTCAGATGTTTTTATGATAGTTAGGGCTGCAGTTTTGTATATGAGAAAGTAGCATAAAACCCTGGAATACTGTCTTGAGTCATATGTATGAAAATTAAAAAAAAAAAAAATAACCAAGGGCCAGTAGAAAATGTTTGGTGCAGTGAGTGATGTGCACTACAGAATTCAGATTTCCTGTGTCCCACAAAGAGTTTTTAACTGCAGAGTTATTAGTACATAGAAAATCTTGTCTCTTCCTTATGTCATTTCTGTAGTGGGTAAGGTCTGGATCCTGTGGATACCAGCCTGGTTCTGTACCTTATTAGCTCTCTGGGTGAGGTACTGGAAGAATTTCTGAGAATAGCAGAGCACAACATGATGTGATGCATGTGAGCAAAGGATGAGAAGTCACCTCTAATTCCCCGGCTCTTGAGCACTGTATGTCTAATTTTAAGCTTTAATGTGGTTCCTTTCATGGAACTTATGCTTCTCTGGAATGCTTTAGTTTATTTTTTTCCAATTATTTTTAAGCTACTTTCTGGGAAGTAATAAGGTGCTCTGTACCAAATGGAACCCAGTATGATTATGTTGTAGTGTATATGGTGGTAGTCTGGGTGTTGAGACTGTACATGGTTACTTGAGCAGTGCAAGTCACAGGTGATGGTTCCAGATGAAGTTGTGAAGTTAAGGAAATGAACCATGGATAAATGTGGCTATAACCAGTTGTTACAAATTAGAGACTACACAATTTGTTTAAACTCTGATTTCCTATTTTTAAGGAGCAGTATCTCCAGGACAGGCTTGCTGTAGTTTCTGAATAGGTTTCTGAACTTGCAGATTAAGTAAAACTTTTAAGTGTATGTGGGAGGGGTGTGAAGTTGTATTGCTAGCCTTTAGATCAACAAGGTCTGTTTTAATGTCTTAAACAGAACCATAAAAACCAAATCCTGAACCCCTGACTATCTCTGTATGTGTAAGTTAGAATGATACAAATAAAGTAGGTCTTATGAATGTTCCAAGTATATATTGAATTTTTAAGGACACAAAATTTATGTATATGTGGAACCTCTTAGACTACTTAATATATTATATATACTTATACATGTTACCTTATGTATGTATAAATAAAAGGTTCTAGAGATGTGCAAAAATGTGTGCATATATGTGTATATGTATAAACCACATATTCTGTAGGCTATTATCTAAGTGTGAGGCCAAAGAATTAAAGTGTCTGTGAACAAACACAAGCCTTTAATTTTCCCATTAAGCCAAAAATGTGTCAACTAACTCACTTGTTTTCTCTTACTAGAAATGACTACCCCAAACAAGACACCACCTGGTGCTGATCCAAAGCAGTTAGAGAGGACTGGTACTGTTAGAGAAATAGGCTCACAAGCAGTTTGGTCCCTTTCATCCTGTAAGCCAGGTAAAATCCTACTATCTCATGTTAACAGAAGTTTTACCTATTTTATACTAAATTGAGTTTTTTGTTTTACTTGCCCAGTGAACAAACTAAACCATGTGAGCAGGAACCCACCCAGCACTGTGTAGTTGCTTCTGTGCTTTGGCATCTTGCCTGGGTGTCTTCGAGTTTTGCCAAAGAGCAGCCATGCAGTTGGGTGACCTGAATGTTCTGTCTAAACTTTGTGTGGACTTGGCCATTACAATGTAGCTCCCTAAAACCATGCAAATAAAATAAAACTATTGTAAATGGTCCTGAAGTGTGGTTAATGATACCTGCTCAAAATATCTTAAGATCTGTGTTCTGTTCCTCTGGGGTGTTTGATTTGCTATTTCAGAAATAGCTATTGGGAATTTATCTTGTGTCTTGCTGCAGCCTAAAGGGAATGATCCCTTTATGTTACAATATTGTGCTCAGGCTGAATGTGTTTGGTCTGATATCCTGGAAGCTTACTTGAAGAAAAATGTCATATGGTTTTGTTGCTTAAACATGGGGAAAGTAATTTTTTATTGCAGATTAAACTTCAACTGCTACATTAGAACTGCAATTAGTGTGGGCAATCAATAAAAGGATGTGATTAGTAAAAGGACAGATAATGAAGAGATGGAAAAATATAGATTTGGAATTGCTTCTTTAAATGTGATGACATTAACTTTCAGGAATACTGTTTTTGCCATCTGTTGCTTTTTCTAGCTAGTAACTTGAAAAAGCAAAAATATTTCAGAAGACTACTTGAAAATATTACATTTGGCTAAAATTTTATAATAAATGAATGGTCTCTGCTAACGATTTTCCCTTAGTTCAGCAGTTAAACTACAGAATAAGTGGGAAAATCTAACTGTTAATTAGTGTTCTTACAATCAGTATGAGTTACTACTTAACGATTTGAAATTCCGGGACATGTTGACTTGGTTTCACACCACACAGACTTCAACAGTATTGAGTTTTCACAAATTCCTCTGTTTTAGTTTTGTGTCAGAAAAGCATAGGCACAACTTGGGTACCTAGAAATATTTTCTTATATGTCATACCTTGGGCTACATTAGTTTGTAACAGCTGAAGAAAAGCTACATTGGCATCACGGAAATGGGAAATTCAAGACTATAACATTTTCTTTTTCTTAGGGTTTGGAGTGGATCAGTTACGAGATGATAATCTAGAAACTTACTGGCAGTCAGATGGATCACAGCCTCATTTGGTGAACATCCAATTTAGGTATTAAAAAATACTCCCTGTGAGTTAGGGTGTTTTATATAACTTTGTGTTGATGACTGTTCACCAAGATACAAATTTTGGAAGTGAAAGGACTCCTGCATTAATCCTGTTACCCAGCTGGTAAGAAACCAGTTAGATGGCATTTATAAAAATGAGATTTTCAAATGTAATGATTTACTAAATGCCTAAATAAGCAAGCAAAAGAAAGGTTTGATAGTATGTCATTTGTGACAGCGTCACATTTACCTACCTAAGGTGACTTTTATCCAGACTTTCTGTCTTTGAGAGTCATTTGAAGGATAGATGATTGTTATTAAAGTAGTCCTGTATAACCTGACAACTGAGTTTGAGAAACCTTTTTTATTCTATTCTGTGTAGGATGCTTTCAGTACTTTTTCTTTAACCAAACTTAAGATGATGTTAGATGTTTGTCACCTTTTTTTATTTGCTTTCTTGAGACCCCCTTGGTATAACAAGAGAGCCGATATTTGATAAGCTAAACATAAGCTTCATTACATACAAGTGCTTATTTGGCATCTTGGCCCATTTCTTGGCATTCTGACATTTCTGAAGGCAGACAAAGGAGAACAATGAAAATCAACTCTGTGTACATAACCTAATGTGAAAAAACCACCTTGTTCTTTAACAGCAAGTTTCTTGTAAGTCAGCAGACACACATATTCATTTTTAGAACATTTAAATCCTTAGTTGTTGCAAGCTAGCAATAACCTGAATATTTTTCTTTATGATGCTTACATAGCTTGTGTTGCTTCTTGCAGAAGAAAAACAACAGTGAAGACATTATGCATTTATGCAGACTACAAATCTGATGAAAGTTACACTCCGAGCAAAATCTCTGTCAGAGTAGGAAATAATTTTCATAATCTCCAGGAAATCCGGGTAAGTCACTGATGCTTTGCTTTCTGTCTTAAGATTGTTCTCTCTCATTAGGACATCTGATGTAGAAAAATTGGTTTGGGAGGTAAAATATGGCATTGTGCTTGAAGTGGGAAAATGGCTGGGTTTATTTTGATGTTTGCTTTTAGTTTTTGTCTTGTAAATTTACTCGGCTGGTTTCTGATTTTTTATTAGGCTCCATTGCCAACATCGTTATAATGGACTTGATATATGGATCCTATAATGGGATAGAGAGCGGGGGTTTCCAGAACTGGGCTGTTTAGAGTTGGTTAAACTTTGATTTTACTAATGTAAAATACCTGCAGATGTATGCATTGCATGCATCAAAAGGGAAACTTAGCTTTTAAATACTTGCATTTTTAGACTTAGAAAAGGCATGAATTTGAGTTATTTTTTCATTAATGACTTGCTCAGCTGTTGAGTCTCATCACTAGGACTCAGATTTAAAACTACAGATTTTAATTATAGCTATGTATGGTGCATAAATATTTTAGAGTCTGGATTTCATTGTTGGGAGGCTGCATATTCTCTTACTAACTGGCAGCATCTGATTCAAAGCTAACTTTGAGACTCTGGAAAAAGAAATTAGGACACAAAGGCAGATAACCAGTTCTGCAAAGGCTTCTTTGTATTCTGCTGGTTAGAGAATCTTTATGTAAGGGAGAATCTCCTCCATGTCTTCTAATAGCTGACTCGAGCAGCTGCTGGTGGTGAGAGCTAGTGGAATTGCAGCTAACTTTTCTGTAATCATACACAAAGCAAACAAGATACCAACTTAAATTGAAAGTAATGTAAATTACAGTCAGATATGTTCATTAATTATATTTAACTTTTGAGTACAGTTTCTAATTTTTTGTAAAGCTTTTTTTTTTTTTATATTGGACAGTCACTGAGGTGTAAAAATTGTGAAAGGGATGCAGTTTTTTAACAATATGATGCAAAATCCAATTTCCAGTTCTGAAGATATACTTAAGACTTTGAATGACACATAGAGTTGTAGTGTTTTATTCATGTTTTTATTTACAAAAATGTAATAGTCAAACCCAGTATTTTTTCATAGTGATGCTTCTAGCCAGAACAACTGAGATCAGATTTGAGTTGCTTTAACTGCTTAGTTTTGCTTACCTTCTGGTAAATAGTAAAAGCAGATTTAAATTAGTCTATGATCTTATTAGATGTCCACCTTGTAAACTAATCAGGTTTGCAGGTATAAGCAGGTATCTTTGCTAATTTTGAGTCACTAGGGCCTCATGTTTCAAATTCCTCTTCTCTAGAGCTCAGTAGCTACTGGCAGATACTTTGGGAAGGTTTAACTTACCAGCTTTATATGGCAGGTTTTACAATAACAGAAGGATTGGAATGACAAGAAAAGGGAGATGCTAAATAGTGGTTTGAATTTTTATTTCTGGGATTTTTATTATTTTCATTTTGCTTTTCAATCCCAACAGTTTGAAGTCCCATAAGTAGAAGGTTGTAGATGCAGTGGGAGTAAAAAAGGGTAGCAAAGATGTATGCCTCTTATGTTAACACTATGTCCTTTCAATGATTTGTGATGTTCTCTCAAGCTTTGACCTTTACTTTTATCCTAAATCTTAAATGGAAAGGTCTTGATGTGTTTTTGTTTTCTTTTTTAAAGTTTTTAATTAAATATTCTTTCAAAAGAAATGAATCATCACATTACTTTGACTTTCATCATCAGCAAATTCTGTCTTTTAATCTTCCTAATTGTATTGTAGCAATTTGGGAGCTGATCACTGTATGTAGAACAGTAACAGCAGTTGGATCTTTTCCCTGTTATCTGCGGGTCAGTTTTCCGAGTGTCCACTAGATGTCATTGTTGTCCTTAATTATCAGTTTGATTTTGCACTTTTATCTACTCTTTCAATAACTAAATGATTATCCTTTTTGTAATAATGCTTATACAGTATTATGCATATAACTCCCTAACTTAAGTTTCTTATACAGTGGTAAACTTCCACTCATGAGGGTATATCTGTTATTAACATATTAAATATCTACAGAAACAATAACATGCATAACAGGTGTATTAGTCTTCTGCACTTTCTCAGGCAATATTTCTTTTTTCTTGCTAAGAATGGGATTCTGGATATAATGTCTTTAGTTAAAAATGGCACTTCTAAATGAAACAAATTAGTAGGATTTTTTATAGTATGTGAATGTGACCATAATATGTTGCACGAGAGAGTAATTCTTATGTGTACCACATCCTCATGTACTTTTTTTACTTCAAAACTGAGAAGAAAATATGGTCATGCTTCTTTGTCACCACCGTGATGTTACTTGTTCCTATGAATTTTCATATTTCCTAAACTACTTGATATTTTAAATTTTCCTTCAGTCCTGAAAATTTCTCTTTTCTTCAGCTTCTCTGACACGTAGGCAGGTTATTAAAGCAGTGTGAACTATTATGAGCTTTTTAGACAAATCTGCTTAATTATACAATGATTCCATTGGCTTCAGGACTGATTAACTGGGTGGAAAATCAGGCTAAATTATTTTCTGTTTTTCCGTGGATGTTTGCCCAGCTCATAGTGTCTAATGAATGTGTTTTCTTTCCTAATGGTCTGATTTTCAACACAGTGCAATATGCTGTTAGGCTAAATTTTGTCATAAATGTAAGATTAGCTTTAGTTTGTGTTCTAGTATGTAGACATGCCTTTTTTTTGGAACCTAAGATGAAATTATTTTCTGAATAAAATGTTTTTTTCCCCTCTGAGAAACAAGTTATTTGTACCCCATTGTATGGGTGAGAACAGCCATCATAATCTGGCAGTGTTATTCCCTTACTCAGCTGGAACTGAAGTTAAGATGTGTGCAGTCAGCCTTCTCCTCTGACTTAAGTGCCTTTTTATCACAGCTGTCAAGTTTGGAGAGCAAAGATTTTCTTATTTCCAGTCATGGAGTTTTCCCATGTAATGGTTCAAACAAGTCTGGATGGACAAGACATTTTTAGAACAGAATCCAGACTCTTCACTATGTGATTTAAGTTATTACACTTTCTCATGATGTGAAAGTAACCCACTGCAAAGGATGAGAGTGAAATACTGGCTGCAAGAGATCTCAGGTCTCTTCAAGTGATGCTCACCTGCCTGTTGCTTTTGTACCCTCTCCAAGACATTTAGGTCTTCAGCAGTTCACTTTGCCATAAAAAGATTAAGTGTTGCGATGCTTAGTGCAGGTAGGGTTTCAGGTTGTAGTCTGTATTCATATGTACGTTCACCTTGTACTTTCAGTGGCTTCTGCTGTCATCCTATAATGTAGAATGTTTACACTGCAAAGTAAGACACCTGTAAACTCTTGCATTAGTCACTTCTACAGCTTTGGATAAAAAATACACTCTGGGAAGGTGCGGATCAGACTTTCTGAAATTAGCTTCTCATATTAGTTCACATCTGAGAAGCACTGGGGTTTAATCCCAAAATTAAAGTTGCTTCAAGAGGTAGGACCCCCCCTGAAAGAGCCAGTCTTCTATTCTGCTGTGCCCTGCAGAGGACTCAGCAGCAGAATGTGCCGTATGTTGCCTGTAACTAGGTGAGATGCAACTAGACAGGGATAATTTCTTTCCCATTCCAGGGGGAGTTAGTTCTCACAGCACGCTTTTTGGGCTTTCACTTGGTTTTTGATTTGAAGTGGGATGTGTTTTTTATTTGGTTGCTCGTAGTTGAGAGAAACTGGCAAGCTTTGTGATAGGAACAAACCATTGCTAGTGCCTGACATTGCTGTGCATACTTTGCTTTTCAAACTGTTTCAAGGTAGTAATCATCCATTTGGTAAATGAGATGTATTAATGCTCAGGCCTAATGGGAAATGATCAGAAATACCCCACTGAAGAGGAGGGAGCCAGGAAGCGTCTGGCCATGGATCTGCTGTGTTTATGCAGTAGGGCAAATTTGCAACCAGATAATGTGGCTTTGTGTTACCAAGGTAAGCAAGGTCTTTGCTCTTTCGTGTTTCAGAAGCCATTCAGTCTGAAACAATGCTGCTGGAACAGGGTAACTCCCCTGGCTGACAACCTTTATAGGTGTGCAGTGCTCCATCACCAGGCAGGGATGGATAGCCCTTATGCAGGGAAAAGACACATTGTCACTTGAGGTCCCATGGAGCAGACTCTGCATTGAAGAATGATGCCAAGTATTAAACATTGCTTTGCAAGAGGCCTGCTTGAATTCGGTCTCTATATGCTTTCCTCCTGGAACAAAAGCCTACTTAACCTTTTCAACAAGAGTCTGTTCTGAAGATGACTTTGAAGACTCAGGTGAAAGCCCTGTTATAATAGTACACTTTTGTACTGTTATAATAGTACACTTTTGTTGGTTTTTTTTTGTTGGATTGCTGTCTGGTTTGTTTTCAGTTTGTTTTCTATCCTTTTGCTCTTGCTTGGTGTTTTGTGACCAGGTGCAGGCCCAGCAGCCTCCCTGGTGGCCCGGTGTTGTGGCTGAGCACCACGGACAGGGCTCCTTCTTCACTGTTGTAAGAGATTGTGCACTACAGTGGGGAATTATCTACTGGAGGAATGCCTAAACTGGGGGGCTTTTCCAAGGGGTAGTTAAGGAAATGTGACCCTACTATAATCTCTTTACTCTACAGCGTCCAGTGATTGTAGTGAGGAAGCTGGGCTTGTCTAGACGTTTTCTGAAATTCAGCACTAGCCATCTCAACCTGTTTTCTGTATGCAAATTGTCATAGGACTCTTGTAAGGTAATGAATCACAAAAATGTATTCTTTTGAGTCTCTAATCAAACATCTCTAAGGTGCATTTTAAATTGCTTTCCATTGAAGATGGAGTACTGAGTTGTTAATCCTTTAGATTCTTGACTAGGCTTCAAGTACTTCTGTTAGAGACCATTCCTCTATGTTCTTTCTTCCATGTAAGAAAAGAGGCATTTCTGACCCCTCATTAGTCCTTGAGTTCAGAATGTCAATTAAAAATAGTCAGTCTGCTTTCTGCAAGCTATACTTGA